AAAAAAAAAAAAAAAAAAAAAAAAAAAAAAGATTGGTACATAATGGGTGGTTGGATTTGCTAAAGCAAATTTGTTGATTGTTTAGAACAAAAGATAATCCCTTGGAATGGAATTTTTCTATTCTTTTCATTCTCCACTTTTGCTTTAAATTCTTCTCATAATTACTTGCTTCTCTTTCGTATTGTCAAAAATTTGCCCGAAGGTATGATAATGATGATGTGATACTCGTAAAGGAAATGTATATGAATAAACTGAAACAGAGTGGTTAGGAGAACTTATAATAATTAGTATCTCTAGAATTTGGACACTCTCTTGAAATTTTTTTAAAATAAAAACCGTATTGGTTATCGAGATGATCTCGACTCTTAAAAGCGAGACGTTATTCTCTTTATAAATGTTTCATACCTAAAAGATCGATTAAAAATTAAATTTTAACTTCAGGACCAATTATCTAATGTTTTTAGACTTAGACCAAATAAAAATTAAAATCAAATTTTAAAAACTAAATTTTTAACTTTAAAACATCAAAGGTGAAGAAAAATGTTTTACCTATTTTTATTCCTAAATTTTTAAGATGGTTTTAAAAAGTTCATATTACTTATTAATTGTTTCTTTAATAATAATTATTAATTGTTTATTTAATAATAATAATAAAAAGAAAAATGATATTTAATGAACCGTGTGAACTAAAAACTCTTGAACGGAGGTTGGTTTACTCCAATTTTTCGTTGACTTTCAAAACATTGACCGACCTTTGGAAAACCTATTTTTAACTTATTCCATTTTAACCCCTCAACTTAATATAAAATACAATTTTAATCTTATAAAATATCATTTAATTTTAATCATTAATATTTTTTTTAATTATTTAATTCGACCAAGAAGGGAAGGCTTTGACATCTAACAATTTACTGATTATGCTTCAGGCATATTAATTAAAACTGTCTAAAAATCATTTAATATTTTTTATTTTCAAATATTTCATTCCTTTTAGAAAAACATTTGAATTATCAATTAAATTTTAAATAAAAACAGTTTTTTCATTCCGTTTTTCAAATATATTTATACTAAGCTAGAGGTATGGGAACGGGAACGTAATCTCGTCCGCATTCTCATTTATATAAATAGGAAATCCCCTCCCCATTCGGGATGGGTAAAGTAATATATTTATACTAAGCAAGGCGGGTATGGAAACGTATAATATAATCTCGTACCCAATCCCATTGATTTACCATTCTCCATCTAACCAGGGGCTCCCTCCCCATTCGGAGTGGGTAAAATAATATATTTATACTAACTAAGCAAGGCGGGTATGGGAACGGTGAATATAATCTCGTACCCATCCCATTTATTTAATAAGGAGAAAATGGTACTCATTCCACCATTCTCTATCTGACCAGGGGCTCCCTCCCTGTTCGGAGCGGGTAAAGTTCTCCGTTTAAACAAGGAATCCCCTCCCCGTTCAGGATGGATAAAGTGGACATCTAAACTCCACGGGTAAAGTAGACATCTCAACTCAAAAAGACAAAAATGTTACGAATCTATGAAAATGAGAAGCTTGAAACTAACCATTCAAATTTGAGCTATGATCTCAAAAAGTCATCTACGGATGTTTTCATAAGATTTGTATTCCAAGAAAGCAAAATACTAATTTTCAAAACCTCAAAGGTCAAAACCTAACTCCTAATATTCAGACTCAGAACTTAATACTAATTTTAGACTCAATCAATATCACCTTGCATACCAAAGCAATGAACAACTTCTCTAGTCATTAGCAAATTCTGAAACCACACAAAACACAGTTTGATGCAAATATTAAACACTTCCTTCATCTCAACAGACTTCTCATAGATGCATCTACGTAAAGCGATAATTACGCATAGGACTTGTTCATTGATGCAAAGACTAAATCAGATCAAACCTGGTCGCCTTAAGATGCATCCCCGACTTTCTTTGAAATGGCAATGACATTGAATCTCAGCGAGTCGGGATTTTTCGAGATTATGTCTTTTATGACTTTGGCTGTATCCTGTGATTTCATCAATCATTTCATTAAATGCAGAGAACAGAAGTGTAATATTTTGTTGTGTATGATTCATTGGCGAATCGAGATAAACATGCAAGGTGATTCAAACAGGACAATAAACATAACTGGTTAAAACAAACCAGGATAACATTCAGAGCAATTATTTACCTGTAATAGAGTGTCCGGTGATGATGCACCGTGTGATATTGGCATCGACTTCATCCCATCGAGCTCATAAAGTACACCTGTATAATTAGGATACTGTAGATTAGATCATTTCTTAAAAATCTGATGACCCAATTCATTGTAGACTCCAAAGAAAATATTTTTTTCCTTGGAGAGAGAGAGAGAGAGAGAGAGAGAGCTCTAAGAAGTGTTTACCGTCCACACATGAGAAGCAGATAAAGTGAGTATCGACCTTTTCTGGAGCCTGTACGTAATGAGAAGAAAAGATGAGCCAAATAAGAAAAGATAAGTCAGCACGTATACGTGTATTCATATACAGGGAGAAATAACGAGCATCTGTTCCAGTGAATGCATTTTATGTTCATACAATCTCTTATCTACTTTTTCCTCTATTATACAACCAACTCTGTCGTTAGATCTTGAACTTTCAAAAATCATCCATTTTCACTGATCATCTACAATTTAATTATTAAATTCTCTGATTTGCTGTGGAGGTAACTGAAAGAAATTCCTATCACCAGAGGATAGCTGTCAGCCTGTCAAAGCTTTATCTGAAAAAACAAGACAATGGCTGAAGGTTCACTCTTACATGCTGAACGCAGCCTCGATAAGGTATCTATTTATTCTAAATATACTCCACCATTATTCAGAAAACTTGAAACGATACTTACCGTCGTATCACCAGCATTTGCTGCTACTGAATGTGCAACTTCCATTTCTCTGTCTTCCCCAAGAAATACTGCACGCTATCAAAGTGAACAACATACGACTATTAGAAGCAAAAGGAAAAATATTTTGGGTAAGCATCAACTGGACAAAGGAAAGGATTGATAAATAATTTATTTTATTCCTTGCGTTTCTTGATATGTTCGTCCTTTTCTGTATACGAAAATTTTTGGGTGGTGGTGGGGTGGGGAAATAGACGGGGTGTGTAAGAGAAGCATGTGTTTATAAATACAACCTCCATCGGATCCATGCTTTTGGTAGACTTGAAGAACCTATCCAAGAACGATCCCTCGGCTTAAAAAAAAGACAAAGCACAGAAGTTAAAAAAAGAAAAAAGAAAAAAGAAAAGAAAAATAAGATGTACTAGAACTGAAAGAATATCATAACAGCAGTGCAGTAATCACTCAGGAATCACCAGAACAAGCAGACAAGTAAAGACACTGATAAACTTGATCAACGTGATTATAGTAGAATGATTGTGACCAGCCACAGGACTCAATTCGGATACTTAAACCTCCATGGTAAACCAGAACACGATCACGAAATTAAACATATGAATGACCCTGCAGAATAATTCTTCGTTTCACTTTCATATTTAATTCGTGTTTCTGCTTATTTTCAATGAAAGATAGCTTTCATAACTCCTTAAATGACCAATTCTCTACTCTACATGTGCATATAAGAGGAGAACAGATACAATACGAAGGCCCCTGAGCAAAAGGTAGAGGATCACAATGCTACATGATTCGAAGAAATATATTTCAGAGCGTCAAATTGACTAGCATCTCTCAGTACTTACAAAGCTTAATCTCGGAAGTAATGTTCCCTATGGCATGAAGAAGTCCAATAGTTCCACAGGCATTGCCAACAGTTTGTTTCATAAAGTATACTCGATCACTATAATCCTAGGATCACAACAGAAACAAAGAGCCTTATTAGATAACACTTGCACGGATATGAAACATTTTAACAATGTTATTAAAAATGACCCAATAACATGCACCAAAACTGGATTGTCCATGCTAGAGTATGCAACCAGACAGAATTTTAAACAATTTACGACAGACGGAAAAACGTTTTTCCTGATTTGCAGATGGAAAATCTTAAACAAGTCACGCAGACCGAACATACATTAGACAAACACCAAGTAACATCCTAATCTAGAAGGGAAACGTATCTAAACAGTTCAGTCTATTGGTATGTCATAATATAAAGAGGACTGAAAACACTTGCTTAACTTGTCAATTCTCATACTCACATTCTTTGCATCTTCTTCCTGTTGCAGCCTCTCGTCTTTACACTGAAAACATTAAAACATTTAGAAAATGAAAAACTATTTTCTTCGTTTTATGTCGAGGGAATTCTTCAAACTTATAAACATCATTACAACTGAACTTTATCTGTAAGCAAACCTTTTGAGTTATGGGATAAAGAAACACCACCGCCAGTACAGGCTTAGGCACCATGTCCAAGAGTTCTTCATCCAAGCCATAAACATCATTGCACTCTGCTTCATCTTCTGGAAGACCAAGACCCCAAAGGAACTTTGGAATAACAAAACAGAAGTTTGTCGAACATTAGAGGATATATGGAAACTTGATGATGCTATTATCTTCTAAAATCAAGCAGCAATTGGGTTATATATATATATATATATATATAGCGAAACATTATTTGAATGAAAGGGAAGGAAAAGAAAACGATCACTTCAAAAGTAAGCCGTGATTCCAATAACATGGGCACACCATCCTTATCAAGATAAACTAAGAAATTCAACTGGCTAACAGAGTATACAGCACGCATAAAAACATCCCAGTTAGTCAAATAGGCGATTTGGACTGAACGAGAAAGCCCCAAAGAGTGCAAAATCATTAATCCGGAGGACCAAATCAAAATGATAACAAAAAAAATTTGAAAGAAATTCTCATTATCTCCTCTCAGATTTCTCTCTCACTTCAACAAAATACAGATCGCTCACACAAATCAGCAATAAGAAATAGAATGAACAAACAGGCACGAAAACCGTATAGATACACCAAGAAAATGCGGAGACATTGAAATACATCCCATCCCAAGAAAAGTTGAGAATCGCCCTTCGAATCCTCTTTCCACTAACCAGAGCTCGAATCTAGAAGCCAAATCAGAACAGAACGGAAGTACCTATACCTGGTTCATAACATCAGGGTTAGCTTCGAGAGGAAGCCAACGCTTAGCTGAAGGGCTTTGGTCCACAGAAGCCATTGTCGTCAGGTGAGCTTGTAACACACTCCGATTACAGAAATGGAATCAGTTCTTTGGATGCTCGGTTGGTGAATCAATCTAACTTGGAGACGACGCAACATTTGGCAGACTCGGTATTATATATAGATTTGTTAATGGGCCTGGAAACCAGCTCGTAAGAAACACAGTAATAAGGCTCATGGCCCAAATAGCTTAATTGTAGGCCCATGAGCCCAATATAGGGGTTTAGATTTCAAACCATTAAACTTGAAAAAAAATAAAAAAATCTAAAAAATATTAAAAAAAAATTAATAACCCCTTTAAACTAAAAAAAAAAAAAAACAAAATACTCCTCGGTAATATCCTTAAACTTTAATAAATAAATAAAACCCTTTATTTTAGATGAAAATCCTTTTTTAAAAAACTTCAAAAACAAATTTAAAAATTAAAAAAATATCTTTACCATTACAATATTGCAATAAAAAAAAGTTCTAAATAATTTTAATAAAAAAATTTAAAATTGAAGAATATTTTTTTTGAAATAAAATACTAACCCTTTCCAAAACTTTAAAAAATTTACCTAAAATACTAATAATAATAATTAAACAAAAACAAAGAAAAAGTATATGGAAAGAAATAACTTAAAATAAAGTAAAATTTAAAGGGAAAGAATCCAAATTTTCAACAAAGGCTAAATTAATAAATAAATAAATAAAAACCTTTCCAAATGTACACTTTTAATATTTTAATAATACACCAACTTAAAAAAGAATTAAAAAATACCACAATTAATAATTTTAAATAAAAACGTTTAAAAATATTTTTGAAATAAAATACTAGCCCAATTTTCTATCTGAAATTAGCGATAATGATATTCTGAATAATATTATTGAATTGAGTCAAAAATACTAAGTTCAATAAAAAAAAAAAAAAAAATCGTATTTCATTTTAATTTTCAATTTGAATCTAATTAAAAAATAAATTGTGTCCAATTGAACTCTAAATTAATTTAATTTTTCAATTAGTTGTTAAATAGATCCCTAATTTAGTTGATATTTACTCATTTTCTTGAGGTTAAGAGCAAAGTTTAAACCAACAAAATCGATGAAACCGAGCTGAATCAAAGTCGAACTAAACCCATTTTATACTCGGGTTCATCGGTTTTGTCGATTTCAACTTGCACTCCTAGCCAGCCCCACCAGAGAACAATTCTAAATTTCAGGACATAGATATCACTGAGTGCAGCATTAGGCTATGCAAGGCTGCTTATAATAGCATCACTAATACATAAACAACCTGAACTGGTTCACCTTCTGCAGCTTCTCTCATTTCAGGTACCTAAGCTACAGAAAAGCTTGCATTAATGCTTGTATTTTAGAACGTTAAATGAAGATCAGAGGCAACCATATTGTATTGAGGAAACAACAATTGGTTACCTATCTATTCTCCTCGATATCTCGGCTTGCGCTTCTCGGCAAATGCTGTCAATCCTTCCAAGCGATCTTTCGTGTCTAAGAGTTCTTTGTAACATTCATCTTCTACTTCCATAGCTGATTCCAGGTCTCTCTCGAGCCCCTCATCGATCGCCTTCTTTGCCATCTTTATTGCTAGTGGACCCTGTTAATACATTACTCAACAGTTACTCTCATACAATACTCAACAATTACTTGGGTATTGGATTATAGGCTGTAGGCATGCTATGACACAGTTGAGGAAAAACATATGCTAAATCTTAGAAGTTTTGAGAAAAATCATTCGTTTCGTAAAACTACGAGTTTTTTCATTTTGTGATCTAGTGTAACCGCTCAAGCTCAGCGGTTACGTATCACCATCAACCTCACGGTTTTAAAACACGTATGTTAGGAAGAGGTTTTCATACTCTTAAAAAGAATGTTTTGTTCCCCTCTCCCACCGATGTGGGATCTCACAGTCCACCCCTCTTGGGGGCTCAGCGTCCTTGCTGGCACACCGCTCTGTATCTGACTCTGATACCATTTGTAACAACTCAAGCCCACCGCTAATAGATATTGTTCGCTCTAGCCCGTTACGTATCACAGTCAGCCTCATAGTTTTAAAATGCGTCTGTTAGGGAGATGTTTCCACACCCTTAAAGAATGTTTCGTTCTCCTCTCCAACCGATATGGGATCTCACAATAGGTGAGTCAGCAAGGAGGTTGAGCCCCCAAAGGGGTAGATTGTGAGATCCTACATCAATTGAAGAATGAAACGAAACATTTCTTATAAAGGCGTAAAAACCTCTCCCTAATAGACACGTTTTAAAATCGTAAGACTGACGTCGATACGTAATTGGACAAAATAAACAATATTTGTTAGCGGGGGTTTGGGTTGTTAGATCTACACTTTGCAAATGTTGTCGAAATACCGGCCAAATATAGAAAACTGAAAAAAGAAATGTAGTTCTTATATTTTTTAAAAGAATAAACGAGGAAATAAGCATAATTTTAAAAAAAAAAAAAAAAAAACAAAAAGAAAATTATTATCAAATGGAATCAAAGTGTTTAGTTTGTGGGTTCACCCTTTATAACACCTCTCAATTTATGGATGAAAATTAAGGTACAAAATATGATTCAACTTTGATCTCTCAATGCATTATATGGTCAAACTAGTGGAATCATATCAATCTGATCATGATTTCATCAGATTGTCAGCACGATAACCAGAAAGATAATTATAAGAATGTTCTAATTACCTTCTGATTTATCTCTTGGGCAATTTCCAGTGCCTTTGCATAAGCTTCACCAGCAGGGACACAGTAATTGACAAGACCTAAGGCAGGAAATTTGTTTTCTTATCCTTAACTCAATAAAACACTGAACTTAAGCTTTAAAAAGATTGGTAATCATACCTATAGATAGAGCATCTCTGCCACTGACCTTACGACCAGTGAATATAAGTTCCTTTGCTATTGATTTCCCAACAAGCCTGGGAAGCCTTGCAGTCCCACCTGCCCTGAGAGAAAACATGTTTAGAAGGTGTAATCTGCTCGTGCATACAAGAGAACCTTCATGTTATGTAACAGCCCAAGTCCACCACAAATAAATATTGTCCGCCTTGGTCTGTTACGTATTGTTATCAGCCTCACAGTTTTAAAACACATCAGCTTGGGAAAGGTTTCCACACCTTTATAAGAAATGCTTTGTTCTCCTCTCCAACCAATGTGGGATCTCATAATCCACCCCCTTTGGAGGCTTAGCGTCCTCGCTGGCACACAACCCGGTGTCTAGCTCTAATACTATTTGTAACAGCCCAAGCGCACCACTAACAGATATTGTCCGCTTTGGCCCGTTATGTATCACCATCGACCTCACGGTTTTAAAACGCATATGCTAGGAGAGGTTTCCACACCCTTAATAGAAATGCTTCGTTCTCCTCTCCAACTAATGTGAGATCTCATAATCCACCCCCCATGGGGGCCCGGAGTCCTCGCTGGCACACCGCCTGATGTCTGGCTCTGATACCATTTGTAACAACTTAAGCCTACCGCTAAAAGATATTGTCCGTTTTGGCCCGTTACGTATCGTCATCAGCCTCACAATTTTAAAACGTATATGCTAGGGAGAGGTTTCCACACCCTTGTAAGGAATGTTTCGTTCTCCTCTCAAACTAATGTGGGATCTCTCATAGAAAAGGGGTTTGAAAAATAGTCTTGGGAAGAGTCTCATCCAGCTTCCACCACCAACAGTTTAATGTTTATACTAAGTAATAGAACTATGGAACTTCAATATGCATGCAGGCTTCCTTCTACTGGTCTCACGTGAGCTCTTAAAACGTCATATGTGACCGCATATATAGGTAAGTATTTACTACATACCCAGGAATTATAGCCAGTCCGGTTTCTGGCAAGCTGAGCTTGGCATCTTCCCCTGGATCATGGTTTAACGATGAGAGTTATAACTCCAATACAGCAAGACGTAAAATAATAAACTATAAAATAATTGACTAAATTTATTACCACATATCCGAAGATCACACGCAAGAGCCATTTCAAGTCCACTACCGAATGCTGCTCCTTCAATAACTGAAATAGTAGGAATACACAGTCCCTGAATAAAATAAATTTAGATTAAGTCAGCTGAAAACTAGATTTGTGATGAAAAAAGGGAAGTTTTAAAAAAATATCCATGAGCGTTTGGGCCAACTTGTACCTGACTCGACTATTCTCACAGGACAATCGTCTAACCTTACTGCATTTAGTTGTCAAGGTAACTCGTAGGATCTTAAATTCTATCTTGAGTGGTCACTATGACTTGAGCTCCCTAAATGTAACAGACCAGGCCCACCGCTAGCAGATATTGCCCTCTTTGGGCTTTCCCTTTCAGGCTTTCCCTCAAGGTTTTTAAATCGCGTCTTTCAGAGTTACACAGTGGAACCGGTGCTCATACAAATACTGTCCCTTTTGGGCTTCCCATACGCGTCTACTAGGGAGAGGTTTCCACACCCTTATAAAGGGTGTTTCATTCTCCTCCCCAACCGATGTGGGATCTCACACTAAACCCTTTAATTCTTTATTACTTAGAAAGCCCTTAAAGTTTACTAGCATCAGCCACGAAAGATCATGGACGGAATATCGATGATAACTGATGTAGTCATGTGCATCTCAACTGATGCATTGTATACTTGTCAAGACATCCTTGTTCATATACTATGTAAATAAATCATGGAATGTAAAAGCAGGTACGCCTGTAGATAATAATAACAATCTACCTCCAGAAATGTGAATGCAGCCCGCAGTGAAGTGACATAGGAATGAACTTCTGATGCAGTCATCTTCTTACGTTCCTTTACTTAAAAGAATGAATTGAGGAGGAAAAGAAGTTAAAGACTATATCATAATGGGAGAGTTGAATTGTTAGATATAAACAAGAATACCTTCAAATCGGCACCTGCACAAAACACCTTTGGGACAGAGCTGCAGATCATCATAACATTGGCAGATGGATCGCTATCAATTGATTCAAAGGCATAACGCAGTCCCCTCAGCATATCCTTGCCAATGGCATTTTTCACCTCAGGCCTGGCTAAATGTACCTCAACAATACCTGCCATTGATAAACCCAAGTGGATTAGAATTCAAATATAACTCGAGCAGCCCAAGAACACTCCAGAAACTTGAAAGGAAATTATTATAGAACTACAAATGATGAGAAAAAGGAACCCATCGGAAGTTTATCAACTTTGAAGTGTTGTTTCAAAAAAATGATTTTGAACCAATATAATCATTTCAAAAGTGCTTTTTGTACGCTACCAAACACTAAAATTATGAAGAAATGATTTTTAGCCCTCCAAAATCACTTGAGACGTTAATCCAAACACACTCAAAATCTCCCATACTCTGCAGACAATCAAACCATAAATTCCAGAATAAAAATTAAGCTCTTTAAGTGATGGGTACACGTGCAGAGACTCTGATACTATATTAGATAATATATTAGATAAATATATAGTTCCATCTCAAATCCAAATCCAATTGACATATGTTATAAAGACTATGAAGCCTCAGCTTTTGAAGGGTTGGATCGTGGCAACAACTTTGCGATTGTGTGATTGTGCGGCACTCACTTTCCAACATCAAGTGAGTCAAGTTAATTTGTATTCGCGTCGCTTACAGCCGGACAACGTATGCTCAAGCCTCTAGCCCCGATTGAGAAGAAGGTTTTAGAAGACCCCAAAGAGATTTTGAAAGAGAGTTTGAAAGCAAGAATGAGAGATTGAAAGCAATGTTATATGACATACAAGCAAAAGGTAACACAACGGCTTAAGTAGCATATAACTCTTCAGGTAGGGAGAATTTGACAATTAGTCACATCCCGCTATAATACATTTTGAGGCAATTCAAGTCTGGCAAGCCTAGACGTGATTTCGCCAAATGGTCATACAAAATCAAGGGAGGAGTTGGCAACTAGTCACACCCCCTATAATACATTTTGAGGCGATTCAGATCTAACAGGCCTAGAGGTGATTTCAAGGGAGAAGTTGACAACTAGTCACACCTATAGTACATTTTGGGTAATTCAGGTTTTGGGGTTATTCAAGTCTAGCATGCCTAGACATGATTTCGCCAAACAGTCATACAAATAAAAAATACAATAGCTTGGCATGGGCAACACGCCCGACCGTGACATTCAGCACCTCTCAAACGGACATGCAAGGGAATATTACTTATTACTTAAGCACCAAATCTTAAACTAGCAAATTCAGGATCCAACTGAGACATCACAACAAAATCCTTAAACTTCAGCAATCTAAATAACCCAAGCATATAACCATTGATCGCAGACTATTAAAGCATATCACACAACAAAATTAAAAAAAAAAGACATACATATCCTCAGCTCAGAACTTACCAGAATCGGAGTCTGAAAGTCGGTGAAGACGGACAGACTCAGGAAACACCGACTCCAAAATGAGAGTTCTGCAATGAGTGTACCGCCATGGAAATGTACGGAAGGGCAGGGTGGCCGGAATCGAAAGGTTCTGAGGAGAATGATGGAGTTGGGTTCTGAGATTGATCAGCTTTCCGCACAGAACTCTGAATGCCCCCATACTTAATACAAAACGACGATCGCAAAGCAGAGAGAGTGAAGAAAGAGAGCGAATTGGACGTATCCTTAAATTTTTAATAAATAATAAAAATAAAATACCTTAAATTAAAAATACTAAAAATATATATTTTAACTAAAAAAAAATTCAAAAATATTTTTACCATCACTCATACTTTATACCAAAAATGTCAAAAAAAAAAAAAAAAATCATTAACTAAACAAAAATTAATCGACAACCTTGGTAGATAATAAAAAATCTTAACTTATACACAAATTTGAATTAATAAATAAGTAGAATTAATGTTAGAATTTGGAATTCTCATATTACTTGTAGTTGAGCTAAAAGAGAAAAAAAATCCTCGATCATGAGATGAACTTTTCATTTCTATCCACTCATCAACTTGAATAAAGCAAAATATAAATAAAAATTAGAGGGAGATCAGCTTAGATTAGAATAATATGTTCTCACCTAGCTTTTTCAATAGAAAGGTCGACCAACAGAATGAAAGAAAGAAAAAATAAAAAAAAGTGTTTGGTCAAACTCAAAAAGAGGTGGACCCACTTCATTCATCTATAGAAGAGGAAATCATATTCGAGTTTTTGGAAATCTTTCAACGACGACAGAGGAACCAACCTGTCTGTTGTGGCTGGGCGGCTTTTTTCTTTCAACCATGTCTTAAGTTCTCGTTAGGGGAGATCGATAATAAAAGAAAGTACCATTCATTGGTCAAAAGGTTAGAATTTCAAATATCCTCACCCAAATCTGCGAGCCAAAATCCATGTACAATAGAAGAAACCCAAAGGTTGGAAGTGCAAAGTTGAAGGGCCTTGCCATTTGAAGCTATTACACGGATACCTCTGTCTTGAGTTGGAAGCCCTCTATGACTGAGCCAAGAACAAGTTTTATTTCTTGTGAACCCATCGCTCTAGTCGAAGCTGCTTCAATGGCGGTCCACGACTCGGCTTACTCTTCTGAGGACAACTCCATTTCCCAATTATCTCTACCATATCAGAGTGCCCATAATTGGTTTTGTCTGTCAATGCCTTTCTTCTTAAACAACCAAAACCACTTCCTACCTCTTTATTGTTGTAGCTTTCTTGCATTTCCACTGATTTCTTGCAAGTTTCTTCAGAAAATTCACGCTTTCTTGATGTAATAAAACCGTCTTCTGAAACTCCTTTCGCTTTGTTTTCTTTGTTGTTGCTTACAACAATTGGTTCTCTTATTGACTGTTCATCATTTTCAGAACTTTCCAGGATGAAATCAACAGGATAAAATTTATCTTGTTTTATCACTAATTTAAAAAAAAAAAAAAAAAAAAAAA